TCCCACCATTCACCTTCCCACTGGTTGCTGCTGCCACCCAATGGATCCGAAAGACATTGCAAATGAATTAGAAAACTGATTCGTCTAAACTCAGAAACTGCTATCTCTAAAGGAGAGATTAGACACTGGGTTATGGGGCCTGAAACGGATCATCTCTGCCTCTCTGGCACATGTCTTACAGTTCCTAACTCAAACACTGGAGAGCTACAAGTGGGTGATGGTCAACTACTGGAATATTTATGGAGGAAATGGACACATGCACACACACATCCCTGTGCTTTGTTTTAACAGGACAGGCTATCATTACAGATATAGTCTTCTGAAGGCCAGCGTAGAAGCCACGCAAGATCATTTTATCTAAGGCTCCAGCTGACCAAATGCTGTAGGAAAGAGTGGGGGTGGATGAGAACACAAGCAGGCATGGAGATGCATAGACTCAGGAGGCAGCCTGCTTCTCCCAGCCCAAGACATGGGCCAGATGAAGCTTGCAAGGACCGGATACAGGGAGATCAGCATACAGACTTTCTGTTTGCACCCTTTGCTCCACCTGCCTTGCATCTTTGGGCAAGTGAATAAATGAGGCTTTGTTCTGAAGAAGAGCCTGGAGTCCCTGCAGTCAGCTGGGTGGTGAAAGATCCCTGGAGTAAAAGGCCTGTGCCCAAGCCCAGATGAGCCCAACACTAGAGGGTTTGAACAAGGGGGATAGCACCCAGAGATCAAAAGTCAGGGTGGGTAAACCCCAGGATTGGACCCACAGAAGAAAGGGTGAAGAGGCCTGGACCTAATGGTGACTAATACACAGCTCCGCTTGTGGCCGTGGCAAATCCCAGGTCAGGATGTGGAGCAGCTGTCTGCCCTGGCACCCCTAGAGAAGCCTGTCAGCAAACAGAGGCCAAACAGAAACTCACCACAGAGAGTTTGTCTGGCCTGGTGGAGACCCGCAATTCTGAAAAGAGCTCGGTTATGTCCTTGGTAAATTCCTCATCACCTGAGGAAAACAGAAAGGGGATTTGCAAGACTTTGTGCCATCCGTCTCAGTGCATAAAGCAAAAGGGTAATCCAGGCTCTCAGCACTTAAGCGGTCCTTACACAAACACTGGGCCCAGCAGAGCTGCTATCAGTTACTGCAGACATTTTACTTGGGAAGCACATACTCAGGCAGGGTTTCAAACCCCCTCCAATCTGGTCTGTCTTAGAATGCTGCCCTCTCAGTTGCTCTGTCCCAAGGTCCTCCAGGCACAGTCTCCATCAGACACCTGATTTCTTGGCCATTATGCTTCTCATTCCCCAGACAGCACCCACTCACAGGCACAACAAACCCTGCTTTTCAGAAGGTGTTTCCTGCACAGCCCCCGAGAAGAGTCCAAAAGCTATTTGAAGCCCAGTTTTCCTACTGTGTTTGCAAAGACTGAGGTTAATAATTTTTTTTAAAAACAAAAACATTTAATCTACCATGTGCCACCACAGACCTCAACATTTAGTGCAAGTAGGGACAGTAGCTCTTTGCTGAGGCCCTTGAGTGGAGTCAAGACAAAGCCCTGTGCATATGAATTTGCGTGAGCCTCCAGAGTTTTACCCTGTCACTCCCCACTGGACTTTACTCTGTTTTGATTTAAAGGAGATATTTTCCCTGCAAAATTAAATTATTTCCCTCATATATTTCTTTCCCCTCTGGAAATGGAGAATATTGCATGGAGCTGTCCTCCACAGACCTCCTAAGATTTCACCCCATCTCTCCACACGTCCCCACACATCTCCCCTCTCAAGACCCTGAAGAAACTCTTTCCTTCTGCCTAGCATGGGCCGGGTGAAACTCCTTGGGAAGACATCCTGCCTTGGTCAGAGGGAGAAGAAGCACTCTCCAGCCTCCTACAAAGTGAAAGCATTGCTGCCACATCGTTCCCAAATGCCAGTGGCTTGAAGGGTAAGGGACTAGCTGATGAAGAATCAAAACTCATGGGTTTTGCAGGGCACAGGAGAATGCTAACCACAAGGCTAGTTAGTTTGGGTGTTTAAAAATCATCTTTGCCGCCTGCAAATTGGGAGTCTCTTAATTACCCTTCTTCTCTTCTTCGTCATCGTCATAGAACTCTGCCAAGGAAAACGCTTCTTTGAGCTGTTCCAGCTCCATTTTCAAGGCATCCGACTCTGCTCCAGAAAGGGCATGCAAAACTGACTTCACCTAGTGCAGAGAGAAACAAAAATGGAGATCATAAATGCAAGAGGAAAGAGACAGGAAAGGCAGAAGTGATTTATCCCGGATGCAAGAGGCTAGCAACAAAAGCAGCTTTCCCCTGAGGGGCAGAAAGAGCTCTCAGCTAGGCTTTCTAATATTTCGTATTTAATTAGAACATTGCCTAAAATACAGTGGCCCGTGGCACAGTGCGTGTTAGCCGAGTAACTTGAAAGCTGTGTTACCTGTGTGCCAGGAAGACTAGCATGTGGGAGCAGGGTAGGATGATATGATCCCATCCCCTGAAACTCAACAGCCAGTCAAGACTGTAAGGAATGAATAGCTCATTCAAAATCCTGGGCAAGAATAAACCTAAACAGCTCCATCTGCAGCAAGCTTGCACAGCACAGGTATTTGCTGTGAATAGCAATAACAGCTGTTCCTCTGTTGTCTGGCAAAGCCAACACACAGAACTAGGAAAATCTATACTTAAAAATATCCCAGAGGGAGGGGCTCCTTCATTCGATGGCTAAACTAGTGCATCTAACCTGGGCTTTGGGTTTATGACTTTCCATTTGTTCTCCATACTTGGGTTGAGCCCAATGAGCCAGCCCCCAGAACAACACATATTATAATATTGGTGGTGTCAGTGCTGTGTCTTCTAAGGGTTACCCAACAGTTCCCATTATAATGCTGTTTTTAGCTGCTTAGATCTTTGTCAAACAAGCATCTGGGTTCCACTTTTACATGGCAGCTCTCAGGCTAATTTTCTAAAATGTTAGCCAAAAAGGTTTAGCTCGTTTCTAAGACGGCAAGGGAGAAATATCCTTTTTTGCCCACATTAAAAAATTCTGGTGACTTTTCCTCTGGCAAACACTAGCAGTCCAATGCTTTGGGATGCAGGGACTTGAAACTGAACACTAGAAATGAGCAGATCTGTATAGGATGGGTGGAGAGCACAACCCAGACACAAAGGTCAAGTGATAAGCCTTCAGGGAAAAAGATACAATTTACACATGCTCAGAAACTTCTCAGTTCTAGCAGCATTCACAGAGTTACATTACAGGCCAGGTCCAGGCCTTTAACCAAGAATAGGGAAACACTGTTCTGTGCTTTTGATGAACTTCTTTTGTCTACCTCCACAACAGGACCCAGACAGCTGACCTGGGAAAGGGGAACAGTTCGGGGGAAATAGTTGAGAGGGCAGCAGAGACAGAATGTGGCTTGACCGGGTCACTATGGGGGAGGAGAATGATCTGATGAGTTAATGACCCAATTGTGTAAAGACAGCATCATAACGTACGCACATGAAGAGGCCAGCTCAAGGTTGCTTGTACACCCTGACTCTACCATTTCCTCACGGTTGTGCACTTGACTCTACGACCCTAGCAATGTTCTTTTAGACAGACGAGGGTGGCTACATATAATATCGCTTTGTCTTCTTCAGCTGCACACTTGAAGGCAATAGGCAATCGTTCAAGGCCATTACCTTGGATTCGCTCTCTCTGGAAAGCATCTCTAAGGCTTCCAAATGAGAAAGACCCTGAAATTCATCAAAGAGTAACCCATAATGGGCTTTCTTCTCTGTCACCATGGTAACTTCAGTAGCTGTCTGCTGCTCTTCTTTCTCCTTTGCCTCTCGCAAGACCTGAAAAGGAAAAGCAAAAGAGCTAAACCAATGCTCGAAGGAACTAAGGATGCAAGGGGGAAGGCTCTTGTACAGCACTGGGAAGTAGTCACGTGATACAATGTCTTTCAGGGCTTTAGCAGGAAAGCAGAAGGAAGACAAAATAAGCTTATGATCCTTTCTGTTGCAGGGGAGCGTATACCTGAGACAATGTGGAACTCCTGTGCATCAAACCCTTTGTTTTCTTGAATCCTGGGTCTCCTTCAGCTATCACATCCATTGTTTTTTTCCCAATGAATTCCAAGGCGTCCAACCCTCCAGTAATTACAGTCTTCCCCTAGAAACCAGACAGGCACATTGGGACTGCACATAAAAGGAACAAAGTTTTGTCTAGGTGAAGACGTCATTTAATGTTATAATTTAAAACATGGTTTCTATCAGTAGTGATATGGGTCAAAAGCTCATGTTTAAAGCTCAAGTTGACTGCTCCTAGACCTGACAAACACCTTCCACCATGGGCATAACAAAGGTAAAGGACCTGAAAAACAAGGAAATGCTACTGGCAATGTTTTACTGACACTGCTCAAATACCGTTCCACCTAAATTCCAGGTGGCTGCACAGTCCCCATCACAGGGGTAAAAGCCACCTGGAATTTAGGTAATGTTGAGGTAGGTAGTTCTCTTCCCTGTAGTCAGAAGGATGTGGGCTTTTCTAGCTGGTAAGTCTGAGACCTGCTGGAAGCTGAAAGGAGGAAGTATAGTTTGCATCCACCCTTCTCTCTTCCAGATTCCTTGAGCAGTCACCAAAAGACCCTAATTCTACTCAGCACAGCTGTCACTTCTGAGGGTGAAGACTCCCCCTGGAACATAGCTAGCTTGAGCGTGGTGGTCTCTCGGAGAGTCTGGACCACTCTCATAGAAGCCTTCAAGGACGAGGGTGGAAGTCGGCCCTAGAAACTCTTTCAAAGAGAGTGGAAATTAACCTGCCCTTGAGCTTGGCCCACTGCTCTACAGCAAGCCAAGCCCTGAGGTGACATGCACTACGCTGCCATGGAGATGGACTTTCAGGCTGCTTTGTTTTGAAATACTTCAGCATCAAAGTTTAACAGGAGAGAAACCCATTTACAAATCAATAGCCAGCTGGGAGCGAAATAGAAGATGAAAATATTCCATTATGTCCAAGAGAGCTCAGACACATTTTTAGTTTCAGAACCAAAGGTCAGGATAGTCTGAATAGCGACACGTTAATGTACGGAGAAGCCAGATGAAGTGCAGTGTAGAATAACAGTTTACTGTTAGGAGGCTTCAGACTTACGGAAAAATAAGTGCATTTAACTGTTTTTCCTGCTTTTCCGGCCCACTCACCGTGCTCTGAACAGCAGTAGAAATAGTTGATAATACTCCAAGAGCCCCACTGATAGGCGAGGAACTGCCATCATTGATTCTGTGTGTAGCACTCTCTTCAGGACTCTGGCTACCTGCATTAGAGGAAGAAATTTTGCTTTAACTATGAAGATGGCTGAAGTTAAGTTTTTAACTAGATACCATCAGTTCCAGGAAGGCAAACAAGTGTCTCAGGCACGGGAAGGGACAGCAGTGCAAGAGTCTCGGAAAAAAAAAAAAAAAAAAAAAAA